AAATCCTCTCCTCCTTCCCTCCTACTCTACCAAGTCCTCCTCCTCTCCCTCCTACTCCACAAGTCCTCCTCCTCCTTCCCTCCTACTCTAACCAAGTCCTCCTCCTCCCATCCTACTCCTCCACTTTTTTTTCCCTCCTACACCACCTCCTTCCTCCATTCCCACCACTTTTTTTCCTCCTCACACTCTCTCCTTCCATTACATGCTTCTTTCTCCCCTCTGACAGCATTGAGCATGAGCCCCACCTGTCCTGGATGCCTGGTGACTGCCTCCATGGATGAGACAGTCAAGGTGTGGGACGTGGCCTCGGACAAGCCGGCCCTCATAGAAGAGCTGAAGATGAACTGGGCGTGATCCAGTGCTCTCAGCCTGCCCTGACTGGCCCTTTGTTTTTCTGTATGGGCGGGGACAACAAGAAACAACTTTAAGGTTTGGGATATCAGGGAACTCTCTTAAAGGTGAGTTTAGTAATTGTTTTTGTTTTTATTAATAGGGGAGGGACTTTTTTGTGTTTGTTTGTGTTGTAATGGATATATACCTCATCAGTTTCCCTTCTGTCCCCTATCCACATGGCATCCACACACAACCGCACCACAAATATTCTCTACACCTTCCCTTAGTTACCTGAACTAAGAAACAAATAAAAGCATTTTCCCTTTTTTTCCTGTTCAGTGCGTACACAGTTCTGTCCTCGCATGGGTATGCCAACGGATGAGGATATGGAGACAGAAGTAGCAACTAAAGCCCTGAGCAACGTGCACCTTGAAGACGATGACAGTGTCCAGGTAGTGTCAGGAAAAATACCCCCTGCTGCTGCTGCTGCTGCTCCTACCAACTTCAAGCCCAAAGTCAAGAAATTCCACAAAAAGAAGGGTGGCCATCTTAGTAAAAAGAAAAGATGGTAAAATTGTATATATTACTAGCATGACTATTATTCATGTATTTATAAGGTTGGGGGTGGGGGGAGGTAAATGTGAATTCCTAGAGATTTTTTTTATTTATTTATTCTTGCACTTCATTATTAAATATAAATAAGATCTTAAAACTATCAGTCATAGAGCTAGAAATGCTTGTATTCTTGGTACTTCCTTAAAGACTAATTAAACCTTATATTTTTTGTAGATGTGTAGATGCCACAAAATTATATGATCATATGTTTCACACCCAGAACCGCTGTGGCTACAAAAGAATTTATTAAAGTACTGGGTGTCTGGGGTGGAAGATTTAGTTTATATTCTTATATGTTATTTATAAGAGACTTCTGTGAATAATATAGTTAATGCAAAATCACTGTAAATACATGTGTCTGTTGAATTTTATAAAAGTAATTGTTTTGAAAGCAAGTGATGTTCTTTTGCTTATCATTCTCAATAAAATACAAACCGAGTGCTTGAGTGTAAATTCAGAAATATTGTTTTTCTGGAACTGTTATTTAGACTATTTATTATTGTCATTTTAAACTTTTCTTTCTATTTTTTGTTGTTGTTGATATTAGGGATGCAATGTTTTTTTTCTGAATATTTGAAAATAAAAAAATGTGTGTACAATTTTTTTTTGTTTCCTTTGTATTTTTAGGCTTTTTACATCATTCAAAGGCATTGAAGATTTTTTTATCAAACAGGAACTACAGCTGATATTTTTTTCTTACTCTGGTATTCTTTCATTTCCTTTGTTCCTACTCACTTACTTGTTCTTTTAATTTTGTCATAACCTTCTTGAACGAGAGAATATGGGCTGATCATCGCGCTGAAATATTAAAAGAACATCTCTGTCCAGAATATATTCAAGTACAGTTTCATCCTCACATAACTGTCTATTAAATGGGCAGAAACAAGCACAGGAATGTGTTATTGTTATTCGGTATCTATTCTTGACTACATTGTATATGTACCTTTCACTTCAAATATATTTGTCATTTTTGTAGATATAGTTTCCCTCTCGCGCGTCATACTCGAAACATTTATATTTTTACTCCACACACACACACACACACACACGCACGCACGCACACATACATACACACACGCACGCACCCACATACATACACACACACGTACGCACACATACATACACACACGCGCACGCACGCACCCACACACATGCACGCACGCACCCACACACATGCACGCACGCACACATACATACACACACACGCACGCGACGCACGCACCCACACACATGCACGGACGCACGCACGCTTAAAAAGAAACAGAGGCCACGTCAACAAATTTATTTGTTAGCGTCCAAGAAATGCCCTTTGATTCTTTTCCATAATGTATAAAACTCATGAATCAAAATATCGACATAAGAGGTCTAGTCACGTCTGAAATTCGTAAACGGAGAATGTCACCATTCATAATTATACACTAGTTTCAAGTCAGTTCCTACAGATTACAAGACAAAAAGACAAGTATAGAAATTATAACAAGGAAATTCTCCTAGTCTTCACTATCGCCTTCGTTCATCCGTTAAACCACGAAATAAAATGTTTCCACGTGTTCGCAAGCGGCCGCCATCGTGTCGCCTTCATCGGGTGTCGCACGCTGTGTCCGGAGCGCGTCGGGTCACGTGATTTATGGTGGCGTGGGGGCACGATACGACCGAAGCAGCACGTGACCTGACCTGGCACGCTCGCAGCTCAGGCTCGTCGCTCCCTTGACCTCGGGGGGGTCGTCCAGGTCTGACCACCAGCGAGGCACTGGTCGCGCGGTCGTGCACGAGCAAGCCTTCGGTCTCGCTCGGCGCCCGCTGTTTCTCGAGCCCTTTTTCTCGGCGGTGGAATGGGTTGGAATCACCGTCGAGGTTTCTGAAGCTTCCGAAACCTCTGAAGTATTGGGGACGACTGAAACCTGCGTAACTTCTAAAACACTGGAAACGCCTGAAGCATTTGGAACGTTCATAACGCTGGAAACGTTAGATACAATTCCAACGTTTGGAACTAGCGGTTTTGACACGTCTATCGTTGGCGAAACGACTTGTTTGCTATTAGTATTTCTCTTCCCGGTCGATATTCTCGTATCCGAAGCGACCAGATGAGGCGAGTTTCGGTTCTGGTGGTCGGTTGACTTTAGTGTCCTGTCGATCGCCCCTGACATGTCGATGAGTCTCCCGCTGACAGCAGTACCTCGTCAGGAAAGGGCAAGGGAATCCCTGCGGTGGAGGGAGAATTTTTTTAAATATGAATATCTGAGTTGTGATCATTATCTCTGTGTTTACAAACTATTCGCGAGAAAGCGTCCTCACTTTGAATTATTATATGGTTACATACGGTATACGTCTACATATACATACATTTAACAAAAATACACACATATATATAATGATAACTACAACAGTAATGATAGTCATGTTTATATTCGTAATACTGTTATTTTTTCATATAAATCCCTAACACTCGTAGAGAAAGACTGATATATCTGATGTGGCTGCAGGTTATAGAATAGAGCGGGTCTTTGAAAATGTAACTCACAATTAAAAGAAATAATGTTACCATACAGATAGTAAGTGCGGCATTGTTTTCATTATGAATTGGATTTACAGACTTAGTTAAATTCTTTAAAAAATTAATGAATAAAAAATAAAAGTTGGTTGAAGGGGTACTTCAATATTTGGGACGATACCGTCTGTTTGCAGGTCGGCTTCATATTATATCATGAAAAGACAGATTGGTGCAACTAAAGAAATTTGTAGCTACTTTGTGCTCTTGAAGAATTGCTCATTCATTCTCTCTCTCTTCTCTCTCTCTCTCTCTCTCTCTCTCTCTCTCTCTCTCTCTCTCTCACTCTCACTCACTCACTCACTCACTCACTCACTCACTCACTCACTCACTCACTCACTCACTTACTCACTCACTCACTACTCACTCTCACTACTCACTCACTTTCTCACTACTCACTCACTTTCTCACTAGCTCACTCACTTTCTCACTAGCTCACTCACTTTCTCACTCGCTCACTCACTAGCTCACTCATCGCTCACTCACTTTCTCACTCGTTCTCTCTCACTTTCTCATTCACTCGCTCACTCACTTTCTCACTCACTCGCTCACTCACTTTCTCACTCGCTCTCTCTCACTTTCTCATTCTCACTCGCCACTCACTTTCTCACTCGCTCTCTCTCACTTTCTCACTCGCTCTCACTCTCATACTCACACTCATTCTCACTCTCACACTCTCTCTTTTTCAAGAACCGAAAGTGAATCGAAAATCAACCGCGAAAGTGAATATCCCCCAAAAAAAACTTTGCGAACACGAACCAAACACGCATACGAGCGTGAACCCAAGACCCGAATCACGTGAACGAACCATTAACGAACCACTTGTGTCTCACCCTCTCCTTGTAGACCGAATCCTCCATGATCTCGACAGGACAAGGGCGGGACCGAGGAACACACCTGCAGGAGTCGCCGTCCACGATGCGAAACACGCCCACGATCTTGGAGAAAGGATATTCAGCGCTGGGACAGAGAGAGAAAAGGAAAATAGGATAATTTTGGGGAATATAAACATTGGTGAGAAGGAGTAATCGAAACTGGAGGATGTAAGGGGAATGTGTGCTGCGTTTTTTTTTCTTCAGTATTGGAAAAAAAAATGTGACAGAAAAGAGCACACACAATCACACTTACACACACACACACACACCACTACACACACAACCACACACACACACACACACACACACAACATAACACACACACACACTTACACTAACACTACACTAACACTTACACTAACACACACTCACACTTTTCACTATTGCATAGCATTGTAAAGTGAAGGCGGATGAGAGAGAATATGAGGAAATACCCTACATTTGAGAAAGACATTACGTAATAGGATAATTGTGGGGCGTTTAAAAGGCAATATCTAATAGGTCAGACAAAATAACATAATATATAACATGCATTACAGATATATAATTTGCATCATAAATTCCGAAAATATTTTCCTCGGTTTCCTATTACTCTAGTTAATTGTTTTCACTTTATGCCGAAGAGAGACAATAGCCTTGAAACTGCAGGTAAGAAATACAAATAGATACAATTGTCAGGAGAAAGTGAAAGGTACAGTACCCTGGAATTAACAAGTGGGGTGAAAGTCATGGATCTTTTTTATGTAAGAACAAACAACAAAAGGTAAAATTGGCGGTTTTGTTATTTTAAGAATAAACAGACGATCATCTTTTATATATTTATCATGTTTCTCATTTCCTGTCTATATCCATTTCATCTACCTATCTATCGTTTGGTCTGTCTATATGACTTAATCAATCTGTTATGTCTGTCTATGTTTAACTAGCCATCTATCTAACGACATCCTTACACATCACGAATCCATCATTTGTATCAGCATAACGATACCAACGAGAGACAATAGACAGTTACACACTAAAATGTACGAGAAACATGCACGCACGAATGACTGTTTAGCCATGTGGAAGAACGGACATGAAATAAGTATAAAAAAAAACAGTATCCATACCACACTTACAGCTAATATAGCGCGCATCTCCACATCTATTGCAATAATGATAACAACTCTGGAACAAAAATACATTAAATACTACTCACACATCGTGATATTGTTGGCTGAGCGAAGGAAGTCGAGGGAGAGGAGGGTGGGAGGACGTGCGCTCCCCACAACGGCCTGAAATACGGACGCTTTGATGATTAAATGATGAGAAAGATGATTATTGCTGGCTTTGATGTTATTGTCGAGATGATATAGTGATGGTGATGACTATGGTAGCGATAAGGTAATGATTACAATAATATTTGTTCTGCCTACATACAAGGTCTATACTTATTTAGACCTTGCCTATATATAAACGGAGATCTTGATTGTCACGTAATAGTTATGAAATGACACCTGTAAATATATATTTTTTGTAAATACATTATTTCCAATACACAATGTATAATTTAAGAAACTAAATAAGAAGACAGGTACACGAGAGAACAAAGAAAAAAATAACAATACACGGAACTAGAAACTTTTATGACAGAGAAAATGATTATCAAGAACATCACAGATAAGACGGTAGACAAGAACAAGTCACATGAATTATTTACATTTCTAATTTTCGCAGTACTGCCATTTCAAGAGATAAAGAGCTCAGGTTAGCGGTTAGAGAATAACAAGCTTGTCAGGTCATCCATTGCAAACGACGCACTCTTATAAACAGTAATTTCATGCAAAAAAAAAAAGGAAAAACATATTTACAAATGATGAGAATAATGGAAGTAAAATACTTACCAAAACAGTAGAAATGTCATGATCTTTTCCTTCATTTTAAAATTTTTCGCTTTAAAGCAGAACCGAATAAATACACATATTAAATGAATCAAAGAAAAATAATGAATAACACAATTCGCACACACGCATAAAAAAGAAAAAATAACAAAGTGAGCAAAAACAATCAAGGGTTCTTCAGTCCTCCCTAACCAGAGGTCAAGGACACACTGCCACTACGTCCTCTGGTCAGTGACTTTTTTCCTTCTCTCTGCCCCTCCCCCTATCCCCTGTGCAACCTTGGCTTTTCCTCTTCCTCATATTTGATGCTCTGCTTCCTCCTCCTCTCCCTCTTCCTTCTCTGTGGGTTTCAGTATCACCTGTCTTTTTTCTCCTCCCTTTTCTGTAGTGTTCAGCAATTTACTTTTTCCTCCCCCCACACACGCTCTCTTTCCTGAAGTGTTCAGCATTCTCCTTACTCCCTACCATCGCCCTGAGGTGTTCAGCAAGCACTTGTGGTGTTTGGCGATCTCCCCTCCCTATTCCCTACGATGTTCACTGTCCTATTCCCCTTCTGTCTCTCTCTCTCTGTCTTCTTCTTCTCTCTCTTCTTCTTCTGTCTTCTTCTTCTTCTCTCTTCTCTCTCTCTTCTCTCTCTCTCTCTCTTCTCTCTCTCTCTCTCTTCTCTTCTTCTTTCTTCTCTCTCTCTTCTCTTATATTTATATTATATTTTCTTCTCTCTTTCTCTTTATCTCTCCCTCTCTCTCACTCTCTCTCTCTCTCTCTCTCTCTTCTCTCTCTCTCTCTTCTCTCTCTCTCTCTCTTCTCTCTCTCTCTCTCTCTCTCTCTCTCTCTCTTCTCTCTCTCTCAGTTCCGTACCAACCATCATAGAGAGAGAGACGTGACTTTTTTTCCCTCTGTGACCTGGTGTGACCTCAGTCTGCCAAATCACCCAGACAATGGGGCCCAAAGAGACCTTTCGATTTCAAGTGAACGAGTGCGTGTTCATGAAATATCTGTGAAGATCCAAAGCTACTTACAGTGAAAGTGGAAAAAAACATTAATGAATTCAAACCAGATATATGTGTAGTTATGTGAGGAATCTGTGCGGTCTCTCTACGCTAACCGCACCCAAGTAAATAGGTGAGGTCTGTTTGTGTGCGACATTTCAGCGAATGATCTGACCTCAGAACACCTGTGTATACAATGGCTACCCAAGCCGGGTTTTCTCTGTTGACGGAGATGGACATCTCAGCAAGTGATACGAATACTGAGAACGAACGAACAAAGAAAAAAGCAAAAAGACAATTGAGTAATGAGTCTGCAGAACTTGTATCCCCCAGCCATATGTGTGCCTATTTCAGGAGGGACACGAAGCTAGTGACACATGGGGACAAATACCGTTGGGTGTCTCAAGTGCTGAAGATGGCTCCTTATAACAAGACTAAAGGAGCCCTAGAATTAAGACTAGGTCGAAATAACATCTACGTACGCTGTAAGAATGAAGAAATTCTTAAACGAATAACCACGACCGGAGCGGCAGGAGAAATTCTCGAAATGAGCAGAGCTTATGGCAAAGGACACTGCACTAACCTCGTTGTGTTCGATGTCCCGAGGGAAATTGACACCAGTGAGATCACCGAATACAATGAAAAGATTATACACGCTAAACGCATTCAATTTAATGGTAGATGACACAGCGGCTCATTATCACTTATGAAGGGGAAAATCCCCAAACCATCAAAATTGTGGAGGGCATGGCACCTTTCAGGTGCGCTGTCTTCAAATCCCTCACCCCATTTTGCGCCAACTGTTCCAGATGGGGCACGGGGCACGCGCTTGTCCCGCGAGGAGCCGCACTGTCGGTACTGCGCGCCGCTCACAGGAGCAGGGAGTGCGCGAAAAAATCGCACAGGGTAATCAACTCCCAAGGAAATGTGCCAATTGCAGACTTGAACATAATGCAAACTCTCCATTATGTGCATACTATCCGAACGATAGAAAAAAGCAACAGGCTGTTCTGCCTCTCGCAATCCCAACCCATTTCCTCGTCTTAACGATGAGGCAGAATTCCCCAGCTTGGGAGGATAAATGTGGCGAGGTATGCTGAAAGTAAACAGTCGGTCTCTCCAGCCTTACTCGCATCAGCTCCTGCTCCAGCGCCAGCCTCAAGGTCTGCTTCAGCCCCTGCAGTGCCAGTATCTGTTCCTTCGGCTACTTCGGCATCAACTCAGAACCTACTTCGAGATCGACATCGCTTTCGACATCTGCAACACATGTTTCAGCACATACAGCAGTTCCAGTTTCTACACCTGCTTCAGTGCCAGCGCCGACCCCCACACAGGAGAGACAGGACTTACTACAAATGTTGATGCAGAAAATAGAACAAATGATGCTCATGATGCAGCAACAATTTGCTCAGCAAACAGTTTTCAGTGACTTTGGACAACGGTTCACCCTCTACAACCTGTAGCAGAATTTGAAAATCATCAGAGGACAACTGATGGCCTACATTGACTTTGAGTATACCATAATAGAAATTAAGATTTATGGAAACACTGTTCATTTTTATAAAAAACATGTGTTTTTTTCTTTTCAGTTATTAGATACTCATTAAGGCGAGCACTAAGGTGCAACCCTTCAGGCATGTATATTTAATGTTTGATTTTGGCCCTTAAATCAATATACGTTCAGCCAGATTGGGTAGATGTTTGGACTTCTTTCCCTGGCTTTTTACAGGGCATGTAAACTGTTCTGTAAATATTTTTTTTCAAATCAAATCAGATCAATTACCCGGCAGATTTGCCATGTCGGAGCGGGAAGACGCTCCTACCTCTCAGGGAGGGCAATCCACACCAACTTCTTGGTCTACGGGTGCTTCGAGGAATTCCATTCTCGGGGAAGGCTGTGAATGTAAATGGTGATGGTACAAAGTAAATGGTGATGATATAAATCCCTTTCTAGTTCTCATTGCAATTGAAAAAAAAGCAAAGTCTCATTTTCAACTCTTACATAAAATCAAAGCAAATGGATAGGAAGATCAACAACACTAGTCACTTCACGGAACTACCGTTCAATGTTCTTTCTTGCCAGAGGAGCTTTCGTCTCAGGTCTAAGACCTAAGAAGACCTAGCAAAACCCAAATGTAAGAAGTACAAAAATTGAAAACTTTGCTGAAAGAGTTCCATTAGGTAATATCAATAAACTTGATCACATCACCCTGCATATCAAAAATTAAAATGGTTAAAAGTACAACCTAAATGTAGTTATGACATGTGTATTCATTTACAAGCTCATTCATGAGAATTATCCGCAATGTTATTGCCCTTGCAAACTGTAGAGAACACATCAGGTGTTCAGACACGTCAAGCAAATTCTATGTTAAGAGATTGAGTAACGACACAGGGGCACGACAAATGGAAATCCGTGGACCCAAGTTATGGAGCATGTTGCCAGATAATATAAGATTCATTAACAACTTCTGTAATTTCAAAAAAAAAAGAACACCTATTGAATAATCAGTTGTAAATATGAACGTACTTATGTAGAGAGTAACCATTTTAATTAATGGAATAAAATGTTTTGACTGACGTTGGAAGTTTGATGTTCAAGGCTGTCCTTGCTGACTGCAACATCTTTTGCTTTCTTGTAGTTCTGCACAGTGCTTATGTCTTGTAGATTTTCACCACCTGCTGAGACAATTGCAACTCAAGTAAGTCCATGCAGGCTATTGCAAATTGTCTCCCTAAGTATGTTCCTGTCTATCCTTTTACGATGAATTATTGAAAAAAAGAATAAACAAAAATTAATGCAAATATAAATTTTCATTGCAATGTGAAATGTTTTGATTATATCTTAGGGCCCTTGCTGTCACACAACCCCCCCCCCCCCCCGTTTGCCCAACTGTCTAGCCTGTCTCTGCCCTCTGTACTTCTTTCAGAAAACGCCAGCCCAGCTGCCCATCGAGGACGACGGTTAATAGCGTGTCAGACGATCCTGGAGGCCATGCCCTGTGCTACCAATCACAACGGCGGGTTAACTAGCCACGCCCATCACTTGTGACCCTTGACCTGCCCTACAACACAAACTCACTCGACCCGAGGCGTGACCTTGACCGGACCTTCCTGCTGGGGGGTCTCCCCATGCTACGCATCTCCGCTTGGATGCAACCTCCTCCTGGGGTTACCTACGCCCAGCCGGGCTTCCCCTTGCCCGGGACCTGCACTTGCACGAGACAGCCTCCTACAACCAATCTCAACCAATAAAGGACAGAAACAAAATTATCTATATCCACCAATTCAAGGGAAACCAAAACCCTGAGAGGACTCCAGCCTGTGAGTTTGTTTTGATATGCTACTTCCTGAGATCCTATTTCCACTCTTGGCCATTCG